TTACCTGCTGTAGTGGTTCCTCCTCTTACTGAGTATCGGGCTGGTGTGAGATCGTGGAGAGTAGGCCTGTTGTGTCACTGCTGCTGATGACTGTCTCCGCAATGTTCTCCGCAGTGTTCTCCGCATTCGCCTGTTGTAGATCCTCCTCTTGCTCCTCAATGTAGTGGGGATGACAGGCCAAGTTGCAGTGGTGTTCTCCGCTTGCTGAGTGATGATTTGATGTGGAACCGTGGAGAGCATATGACGTGGGATCTTGGAGAGCTGAGCCGTGTTCTTGACGATGGTGGCCTTGTTGCCGCTTGGTTTCTCCGCAGTGTTCTCCGCAGTGTTCTCCGCATTTGCCTGTTGTAGTTCCTCCTCTTGCTCCTCCTCTTGTAGACTATCAGACTGAGTGGCTGACTGAGTGGATGACTGATATGACGTGGGATCTTGGAGAGCTGAGCCGTGTTCTTGACGATGGTGGCCTTGTTGCCGCTTGGTTTCTCCGTAGTGTTCTCCGCATTTACCTGTTGTAGTTCCTCCTCTTGCTCCTCAATGTAGTGGGGATGACAGGCCAAGTTGCAGTGGTGTTCTCCGCTTGCTGAGTGATGATTTAATGTGGAACGGCCAAGTTGCAGTGGTGTTCTCCGCTTGCTGAGTGATGATTTGATGTGGAACCGTGGAGAGCATATAACGTGGGATCTTGGAGAGCTGAGCCGTGTTCTTGACGATGGTGGCCTTATTGCCGCTTGGTTTCTCCGTAGTGTTCTCCGCATTTACCTGTTGTAGTTCCTCCTCTTGCTCCTTCTCTTGTAGAGTATCAGACTGAGTAGCTAGCTGAGTGGCTGACTGAGTGGATGATTGAGTGACTGGCTGACGATCTGACTAAGTGGATTGCTGAGTTGATAGGGTAGGTAGTGTTGATTGAGCGGCTGGTCAAGTATCGCTGGCTTGGGAGGAGTATGTAGGGGAGGACGATGGCTATGAATCCGTTCGGGCTCTTTTTGAGGGCTTTCTAACGCGTTTATGAGTAGGTGGACGCGTCTTGGAAGGTAGCATCGCTGGGTTGGAAGGCATTATCGCTGGCTTGGGAGGAGTATGTAGGGGAGGACGTATCCGTTCGGGCTCTTTTGAAGGGCCTTTCAGCGCGTTTATGAGTAGTAGTAGGTAGCTGTTGGGCTCGCTTGCGGCCTCGATTGCCAGCAGTAGCGGATTCGCCGAGGGGTGGCCTGGGGGCGTTAGTAGGGGCTCTAAGAGGCGGGCAAAAGGAGTGTATGTGCCTGAGACGTTGCGAGGGGTATCGAGGACGATTGTGTTTATATTGGTGGAATTGGTAGAATTGGTAGAATGGTGGAAGAAGAATGGTTACACAAACAGGTGGAAGGATTATTATTATCCGATCCCGGACGCGTCTGGTGTGACTACCATGACTACCATATTTGAATGTTTATTTAATCCACCAATAGTAGGCCAAACTTCATTATTTTTACAGCGTTAGAAAGCGCAAAGCGAGCTTTACAATTTGAGGAATTATGAAGTAACTGTATATATCGCAAGCTGAGTACTTCAAAGTGTAAAACTTCTATATACAAATTTTTGATGAGGGAGGCGCGGGAGGGCTATCGGGCTGACTCAGCCGGTCTAACCAAAAAGCGTACAGGACCCGAATTGATGATTGGCTGCATATACAAATTCAAGGTTTCCAAGCTTAGCCCTACCTTATTCTTTTATTATGCTTGATATGCGTTTTTAACCTACACCTACATACAGATATATATATAGAGAGGAGGCGCGCTAAGGTCTAATTAGAAAGGTATATCGAGTATAAAGAATTAATCCATAATAATTGCCTTATAAAAAATAGAGAAAGGCTATATCCTTATAATAAGAAGTATTAAAATACTAAAAAGAAATAAAGATAATATATTAATTAGTAGTATGAATCTCACATTATCTTCTACCGTAATAAAATCTTTCGAATAATAAAATAGCTGTTAGAGTAAGACATCGAACGATTTCAATTCGTTTAAATATATATTGTTTCAAAGTAATGATTTAATATAGAATTGTGAAGAGTATATAATATAGAATTTTGAAGAGCTAAGTCGTATTCTTAATGCTAAGAATCTTATTGCCGCTTAGTTTCTTTATAGTATTCTTCGTATTTATCTATTATAGTTCCTTCTCTTACTTCTTAATATAGTGGGGATAATAGATTAAATTATAGTAATATTCTTCGTTTATTAAGTAATAATTTAATATAAAATTATAAAGAGTATATAACGTGGGATCTTGAAGAGCTAAGCCGTATTCTTAATGCTAAAGACCTTATTACCGCTTAATTTCTTTATAGTATTCTCCGCATTTATCTATTATAGTTTCTTCTCTTACTTTTTCTCTTATAGAGTATTAGATTAAGTGGCTAGCTAAGTAACTAGCTAAGTAACTAGCTAAGTGACTAACTAAGTAGATAATTAATATAATATAAAATCTTAAAGAGCTAAGTCATATTCTTAATAATAATAGTTTTATTATTACTTAGTTTCTCCGTAGTATTCTTCGCATTTATCTATTATAGTTTCTTCTTTTACTTCTTAATATAGTAGAGATAATAGATTAAGTTATAGTAGTATTCTCCGCTTATTAAGTAATAATTTAATATAGAATAATTAAGTTATAGTAATATTCTTCGCTTACTAAGTAATAATTTAATACGAAACTATAGAGAGTATATAATGTGGGATCTTGGAGAGCTAAGTCGTGTTCTTAATGATAATAATCTTATTGCCGCTTGGTTTCTTCGTAGTATTCTTCGTATTTATCTATTATAGTTTCTTCTCTTACTTCTTAATATAGTGGGAATAATAGATTAAGTTATAGTAGTATTCTTCGCTTATTAAGTAATAATTTAATATAAAATTATAGAGAGTATATAACGTTCGGACGCGTTTAGTGTAATTATAATATTTGAATATTAGTTTAACTTATCTATCGCTAGCTTAAGAGAAATATATAGAGAAGAATATATTCGTTTAGACTCTTTTTAAGAGTTTTTTAATGCGTTTATAAGTAGTAGTAGATAGCTATTAAACTCGTTTACGACCTCGATTACTAGTAATAGCGAATTCGTTAAGAGGTAATCTAAGGGCGTTAGTAAGGGGCTCTAATTAGGCGAGGAATATCGAAGACGATTATATTTATATTAATGAAATTAATAGAATTAATAGAATTAATAGAATTAGTAGAATAATAGAAGAATAATAATAAAAGAATAACAAATAGGTGGAAGAATTATTATTCGATTTTGAATATATCTAGTATAACTACCATAACTATTATATTTAAATATTTATTTTATTTACTAATAGTAGATTAAACTTTATTATTTTTATAGCGTTAGAAAGCGTAAACTAAGCTTTATAATTTACGAAATTATAAAGAAATAGTATTTATAGAGAGCTGGTTATTTTAGAGTATAACACTTCTATATATAAATTTTTAATAAGGGAGCTCGGGAGAACTAGCGGGCTAACTTAGTTAGTCTAGCTAAAAGGCGTAATAACCCTAAATTTATAATTGGCTATATATATAAATTTAAGGTTTTCTAGTTTAGCTCTATCTTATTCTATTATATATACTAATATAATAGAATAAGATAGGGCTAAACTAGAAAAACCTTGAATTTATATATACAGCCAATTATAAATTCGAGGTTATTACGCCTTTTAGCTAAACTAACTAAATTAGCCTACTAGCCCTTTCAAGCTTTCTTATTAAAAATTTATATATAGAAGTGTTATACTCTAAAATAACCAGCTTCCTATAAATACTATTTCTTTATAATTTCGTAAATTATAGAGCTTAGTTTACGCTTTCTAACGCTATAAAAATAATAAAGTTTAGTTTACTATTAATAGATAAAATAAATATTTAAATATAATAGTTATAGTAGTTATATCAGACGCGTTCGAGATCGAATAATAATTCTTTCACCTATTTGTTATTCTTTTATTATTATTCTTCTATTATTCTACTAATTCTATTAATTCTATTAATTCTATTAATTCCACTAATATAAATATAATTATCTTTAATACTTCTCGTCTAATTAGAGCCTCTTATTAACGTCTCTAGACTACTTCTTAGCGAATCTATTACTACTAATAATTAAGATCGTAAGCGAGCTTAATAACTATCTACTACTACTTATAAACGCGTTAAAAGACTCTTAAAAAGAGTCTAAATAGATATATTCTCCTTTATATACTTCTCTTAAGTTAGCGATAGATAAGTTAAACTAATATTTAAATATTATAATTATATTAAACGCGTCTAAACGTCATATACTCTCTATAATTTTATATTAAATTATTATTTAGTAAGCGAAGAATACTACTATAATTTAATTTATTATTTTCACTATATTAAGAAGTAAGAGAAGAAACTATAATAGGCAAATGCGGAGAATACTACGGAGAAACTAAGCGGCAATAAGGTTACTATCATTAAAAACACAGCTTAGCTCTCTAAGATCCCACATTATATGCTCTCCACGGTTTCGCATTAAATTATTACTTAGTAAGTGGAGAATACTACTATAACTTAGCCGTTTTATATCAAATTATTACTTAGTAAGCGGAGAATACTACTATAACTTAACCTGTTATCCCCACTACATTAAAGAGTAAAAGAAGAAACTACAATAAGCAAATGCGGAGAACACTACGGAGAAACTAAGCGATAATAAGGCTATCATCATCAAGAATACGGCTTAGCTCTTTAAGATTTTATATTATATTAGTTATTTACTTAATTAATCACTTAGCTAGCTACTCAGCTAACTACTTAGCTAGCTATTTAATCTAATACTCTATAAGAGAAGAAGTAAGAGAAGAAACTATAATAGATAAATGCGAAGAATACTACGGAGAAATTAAGCGGTAATAAGGCTTCTAATACTAAGAATACGGCTTAGCTCTCTAAGATCCCACATTATATGCTCTCTACGGTTTTATATTAAATTATTACTTAATAAATAAAGAATACTACTATAACTTAGTCTATTATCCTCACTATATTAAAAAGTAAGAGGAGGAACTATAATAGATAAATGCGGAGAATACTATAGAGAAATTAAGCGGCAATAAGGCCCCTAGCACTAAGAACACGACTCAGCTCTCCAAAATCCTATATTATATACTCTCCACGGTTCTATATTAAATCATTACTTCGGAATAATATATATTTAAATAAATTGAAATCGTCCGATATCTTACTCTAACAGCTATTTTATTATTCGAAAGATTTCACTACGATAGAAGATAATGTGGGATTCACACTACTAATTAGCATATTATCTTTATTTCTTTCCGATATTTCGATACTTCTTACTATAAGGATATAGCCTTTCTCTGTTTTTTATAGGTAATTATTATAAATTAATCCTTTATACTCGATATACCTTTCTAATTAAGCCTTAGCGCGCCTCTCTTCATATATATATACTTATATATAGGTTAAAAACGTATAGTAAGCGATCAGAGTTCGATTTAACTTAGAAAAATCCAACTTCATGAATTTAATTCATGGGCCTTTACTTATATATACTAATATTATAATATAATATAAAAAAATCTAAAATAGTTATAATAGAATTTTTCGATAATAAAAAGATTTATAATATTAATATAGTAGTAATTTAAAAGCCTTAAAGAAATATTAATATAAATATATTATATTATTCTCTAAAGAATAGATTTAACTTAATTTACTTCTA